CTTACCCAACAGTAGCAGTCCATCTTATAGCACACATTCCTGAGCTACTTCTCCCAGTAAATGATATATATCTATATATATCTTTTTAAAAGGGACAAAGAATGGCCCTGGACACAATTAGAAACCAACAGCCAAGGTGAAGATTGTCTAATATACCACATTTAACACAACCAGTGTCTTCAAACATCATATTCTCCAGGACCAAATGTATTCGAGATCGGAAGCACATTACAAGATATATGAAAAGTTCCTTTTTCTGGATTACCGTTTTGAATGAGGATGAAAGAGTATGAATCTGTGTTATGAATGTTTAGTTATCTCAGCTGGTAAGTAATGTAATTTTTCTTCTCAACAACAAACTTCAAGGCCTCTTGTGAGTTTTATTTTCTTGGAATACAGTGGCCTCTAGCATAATGCTCAGACACATTCCAAACCATATGAGAAGAAAATGAAATTATTCTAAGGAATATCTCTGCTTTAGTAATGCTGGCATTCTACTTCAGAATTAACTGATCATCTCTTGAAGTGTATCCTTCATGTCCACAGTTGTTTTGAAGAACATAACATTTTTGGACAAGAAATGTTGAACTTTCAAACTGGTGTATCACAGTGTTTGGAACCTGGATTATGAATTGAGAAGTTGACAATTCTGATAGCACATCCACTAACAACACAGCAAGCTTGTTTTTTTTAACCTTATTCTCTCATCTATGATATGAGAATAATAATGTTGGCCTCTCTCAGATTATTGTTGAAAGAATTACCAAGACACTGCATATGAAGTATTTTGGATGCTCTGCTTTGGACTTCTGGGGCTTTCAAGGGCAGACACACAAAACATCTGGAGAGCCAAAGGTTCTATACCCTTGTTTGAGAGCACTAAATAAATGCTCAGTATAATTAAGGCAGCAGTTTTAAACATATGTTCAAATCAAGTCGAGCTTGGCAGTATCCACTGAAAAAACAAATTTGCACTGTAAAATTATTGTTTGACATGCAACCAGCTGTGATGAACAGTGACCAAGTGTAGGCCTTGGGGAAAATACCTCATACCTTCTCATGGCTTTTACACTTTCATATTGAAGCATACATATCATTACTTTCGCTCATGGGGTTCCAATTAATTAGAATGGGAACATTTTAAGTAAGCTCACACAATTCAAAATCAAATAATGTCTTGTCAGTGTCAAGACACCATGCCATCCAATTTCTTCAATAGTACATTTACATATTTCATAAAGAAGTAGGTATATGGATGTTAAATCATGGCAACTGGACTTCTTCCTTATTAAGCTGAAACGTTTTGCTAATCATCCAAGTAGCTTCTTCAATCTGAGGAGAGTTGGTAGGAGACTCCTAACATATCCTCCATGTTGGTTTTGCTTTCCCCTGGTCTGAATAGGCTCATTAGATAGATAATGGATGGCCCGTGGGGGGGGGGGAGTGAAAACTAAATACTGTACCCGTCTCCTGATACACCTCCCTTGCATCTTCATTTTGAGGTACCTTTCTTTTAAGCCTGGATATTATACATCCCCATCATGGCTTGTAACCTGCAATGGACGTTTCCTCTAGAAATCTGTCAAATCCCCTTTTAAAGGCATCTAGGCCAGCTGCCATCACCACATCCTGTGGCAAGGAGTTCCATAGACTAAGAACATGCTGGGTAAAGAAATATTTTCTTTTGTCTGTTCTCACTCTCCCAACGCTCAATTGGAGTGGGTGACCCCTAGTTCCGGTACTGTGTGAAGGGGAAAAGAGCTTCTCTCTATCCACTTTATCCATCTCCTGCATAATTTTATACGTCTCATTCATGTCCCCCATCAGGCGCCTTTTCTCTAGACTAAAGAGTCCCAAACGCTGTAGCCTTTCCTCATAAGGCAGGTGCCCCAGCCCAGTCATCATTTTAGTCACTCTCTTCTGCACCTTTTCCAGTTCCACTGTGTCTTTTTTGAAGGGTGGTGACGAGAACTGTACGAAATGCTCCGGTGCGGCCTTACCAGCTAATGGTTTGTTTATTTATTTTATTTACTTTTTTGCATCCCACCTTTTTTCCAGGGAAGAGATTAAAGGTGGTATACTAAGTGTTTAAACACTAAATGGTTTAAGAGTTATTGGAATGCTGATGACACTGATCTTTATTTACCTTGGCAATCTGAATGAGCTGAGTCTGGGCAGATATCAAATAATTGCGGGTATGCAGCATTGGGTTACATATGGGCCAGTAAACTAAAATAGAATTCTGATGAGACAGAGGAATTGTGGGTTGATAGTCCTCAGTTCGAGGAAGCTGTTGTTGAAACTCTTCTGAATGGGACTGTACTTTTCCTGAAGAAAGTGAGTCTAGATGCACAGTCTGTGATTGCTTCTTGAGACTACGCTTGTAGCTTTCAAAAGCTATGTTAGTTTGCGCAAACATATCCATAGAAGAATAAAAACAAAAACAAATTGGATGAAGGGCACCCTTTTAAATTTGTAGATTTTTTAAAAACAATAAATAATAGGACACCTGCATGTAATTATTACCACATGATTGGGCTGAAGGAGATATGAGAACAAGTTATTCTGGCACCATAGATATTCTTCTATTGAAATCTTCCAAGAAAACAGTATCTCCCAGTCATAGTGACCATCACTATAGATGCCTTTAATTCTTTTCCCAGGGTTGTCATTCTTCTTTAAGGCCTCCTTATTCCATCCCCAGAATGTGACATTCCCCTCTTAGGTTCATCTTTCCTCCTACAAGAGGCCTGTGCTCCAGATTTGTTCCAGTTTGTGGGGCCATCTTTTGCCTTAGGCTCTTCTAGCACACTATCATCACAATCTAGGGTCCAGATTTTCAGGTTAGGGTCATCAGTCCAGTCCTGAACTGTCAGTAGTGACCAAGGTTCCCTTTGAGATGTACAACTGAGTCAGTGTTCTTTCTGTGTAGTGCAGGGGTTCTGCTCTGTGTGTAGCCAGAACACCACACGCATGAGGCAGAGACCTTGCACAGAGACTCCGGAAAATTAGAGGGAACATTAGTAGTGACCAATGGTCTGTGCAGAGTAGGCACCTTGTGCTGGAACGGCAGGATGACCACTTCGAACAAGGACCATTGGCCATCTGTAAGTCTTAGCCTTTTCATTCCAGAGTCTCCAGTGAATTGTCATTCCATTTCAAGGCCTGCAATTCCAAATTCAGGAATTCCAAGGACTGCTGATGTTTACTGGGTGTGCTGGAGCCGAAAGTGGTCACAACTTGGCAACCCTTGTAAAGTCTAAGTATACTTTGGACCCCCTTGCTGAGACTGGGAGGGTTATGTGGACAGTGCCTCATTTTCTCAAACAGTGGGATCATACTTGTCTAGGTTTGTCATTCCCAAACCAGAGAACTCCCACATTTCACACACTCCTGGGACATCCTTCTAATCACTCCATCATCACCATTTGACTACATTACCACCCACCATATCACCCTTTACACACACACCAGACCACTATTCCGATGCTATGGCCTGAAAATAGGGTAGCTGGCACATACACTTAAGTGTCCCACCCTCAATACCCCCTCCCGGGAATCATTTTGACCACACATCAACAGAAAGATCTGAGAAGGCACTTATAAATGTGTTCAACTGAATGGGCTTAGATCTCCTGTATGGACAATTAGTGCAGGGAAAGCACCCCAGAGGGAGACTACAGCTGTGATACAAGGATATCTGCAAGCGGGTTCTGAAGGCCTTAGGAATGGACCTCAACAGATGGGAAACCTTGACGTCTGAGCGTTCAGCCTGGAGGCAGGCGGTGCAGGATGGCCTCTCCCAATTTGAAGAGCCACTTGTTCAGCAGGCCGAGGCAAAGAGGCAATCTTGAAACCAGCAAAGTCAGGGAGCTGGACAGGGGACAGACTGTATTTGTCTTCAGTGTGGAAGGGATTGTCACTCTTGAATTGGCCTTCTCAGCCACACTAGATGCTGTTCCAAGACCTCCATACAGAGCACATTACCATAGTCTCTCGAAACTGAAGGATGCCTACAGAATGGGTTTACAGCATTCTCCTGAACAGTAGCGATACCTTATTAAGGCAGTCATATAATTGTATTCAGCTCAATTGCATTCAAGCAGTTCCTCAGATGGTTGTTGTGGGTTTTTCGGGCTCTTTGGTCATGTTCTGAAGGTTGTTCTTCCTGACGTTTCACCAGTCTCTGTGGCCGGCATCTTCAGAGGACTGGAGTAGGAACTCTGTCCATGCTCTGTTGCTGTTTGTTGGATAGTTGAATATTTTCTAGTTGATATCTAAGCTGGGGGAAGTAAACTCAGGTGTGTCATAAATCAGCCTCTACTGTTTTCAACCTATAATGCCTAAAGAGGGCTCCAAACTTATTTGAGAAGCTAAGGAGTTGAGTAATTGGATGACAGGCACCTGAGAAAACCAGATAATCAGGCTCTCAGGTAGGCTTGAAGCCTCAGAAAACTGCTGCCTGTCTGCCACCAACAAAACTGGAATAGGCAGAGGAAGGGCCAGTATCAGCAGCTTCCCATGTTTTGCCCACTCCCTGGGCTCTCTGCCTACTAGCTTTACAAGCTCAAGGAGAGCCTTCCTGCTGATCGAGACTCAACTTCTGTGGAAGTAAAAGCTCAAAGCAGTACAGTATATACGTACAGTACTAGCAATAGAGCACTCCCGCTCATGCAACTGGTACTGCTATCCTGGCTCCAGTACTGTGAGTAAGATATAGTCATCATTCATAACAACGAGACATTGATAGCCTTATCCTCTATGGATTTGCCTAATCCCCTTTTAAAGCCGTCCAAGTTGGTGGGCCGGCGGCGCAGCCCCGTGTAATTAACCTCTTGTTTTCCTCTCCCCGCCCTTCCTCTTTCGCAGACCACCAACCGACGGCTCTTAAAAGCGATCCCCCGCCCGCAGCCCCCAACCAGCACACGCGGGGGAGCGGAACGCACATTATTCCGTATATGGAACGGAATGCCTCGCCGCCCGACCCCGCCTCTAGCCGGAGTGGCTCTTTTCCCCCTTTCTTTTTTTTTCCCCTTTCTTTTCCTTTTTTTGGTAGCCGCTCCCCTTTTCCTGAGGGATGAGGTAATGCGGGGCTCCGATTGGTCCGGGGGGCGGCACCCCAACAACCCGAAAGGGGCGCGATCAAGGCTATAACTCCCCGCCGCCGCCGAGAGCGGAGAAAGCGCAGCCGGAGGAGCGCAACGAAGGTCGCGCCGACTGCAGGGACCGCCTTTTTCCCCGAAGGGCACCAGCCAGAAACTGCCCCGAAGTCCGGTGGAAAGCGAGCGAGTAACTTCGGTGCGCGGGGGAGAAGGAGAGAGACGAGGGAGCGCGCCCGGGAGAAGGCGAGGCTGCACCGAGCGCCAGAGTTTCCCCGAAGGCGGGGGGAATCCTCTTTTCAGTCTTTGCCGGGAGGAACCGCGGGGCCGCGATGTCGAGAGCGGTGCTGAGCCTTTTTGTGCTGCTCTGCAGCTGGAGCCTGGGGGACTTGCTGGTGGAAGCGTGTACCTGCGTCCCGGTCCACCCGCAGGATGCTTTCTGCAACTCTGACATTGGTAAGTGTGCCAATGAGCCTGCCCTCCTCCTCCTCCTCTCCTCTCCTCTCCTCTCTCTCTCTCTCCTTCTCCTTCCTTCCCCGCCCCCCCCCGGCCCCGTCTTGCAAGGCTGCAGCATCTGGTGGGTTGCGTGCTGGCGGTGCCAAGTTTATTTGCAGAACCCCGTACATTCCTTGGGAAGGCTCGGGCGTGTACGCACACGTGTGTGTGTGTGTGTGTTTCTCCCTTTGCTCCCGAACGCAAAACGGATTTGGTTTAGCCATTAAGTGGGTGTAGTCGGGGTAACGCGAAGCATGCTCTTCGTTACGTCCGCCGCGCTCGGCTGTTTTATAAAGTAGTGAACAAGCGGCTTGGTTAAAAACTTAGAGCAAGCCTCGCTAACTTACACCTCTTTCTTTCTCTCCTTACTGTGGTTTTCTCTTACACATTCGCCAGTTGTACATAGTTTCGGTGGAGTAATGTTCAGGAGAAACCCAGTGTGGTGCAGTGTATAGAGTGGGGGACTAGGACTCTTAAAGACCAGGCTTCGAATCCCCACTTGGCCACGGAAATTCTCTTGGGGAGCGGGATTGGTAAAACTTTAAATATCTCACTTATCTTGAAAGCTCTATTAAGATCGCTATAAATCTCTTCTAACTTGATGGCACAGAACACACACACATACAATGTGTTCATAGCTGTCTAGAAAGTTCTGTGGTACAATACAGGGTTATTCTCTCAGGACTGACTCTCTGGAAAAAAAAAACTTTTCGAAAAAGGATCCTAATATATTTCTATTTAATTCTGTGCAATATTGGGCGAGGAGCCGTTTGCATGCTAGATACTCTTGTACTCCAATGCCCATTAGCCACAGTAACAATATCCAATAAGCAGAGGAGAAGGAAGTTTTAACTTTTGGCCCAGGAATATATTGGTATGTATCCAGCCCTACCCTTGGGTCAAGTAATGCTGTGGCCTATATACAGTTGCTTGTTGTAGATGTAGTTGTAGTTTGAGTAGACCTGTTTTGATCAATTATGCAATGATAAATGAACATTGCAGCTGGGTTTAGGCCTGTAACATACTTCCAGATGTCAAAGCTTGCTGCATCATCCAACTTTTCTTATCATGGGAACCAATGCATTTTAAATTAAACTTGAATTTCAGTGATATCCATCTTTGATTTTCTTGCCCTCTCTATATTTTTCTTGAAGAAAACATTGAAAAGTCCTTTGAAACCAAACCTTGTAAATAAAAACATCTCTTTCCTCCCAGCTGTATGACTGGCTGTTCATCATCATTAGAGTGTGCACCTGTCAACTGATTTTGCAAAGTTTTTTTTAAAGGATGTTTTAGCATAAAGTAAATAAATAAATAGAAAATAGTATGAGATAGAAGTAATTTGCTTCAAGGACTGATACCAAGCAGTGTAAGTATGGAGAGCAGTACTACACATCTTTCAGACCTGTGGAGTATACTTTAAAGTGTGAAGTTTCAAGCACTGTGTGTGTGTGTGTGTGTGTGTGTGTGTGTGTGTTTGTGGTTTTTTTTAATGTTCTACCTAGCATTAAGAAATGATAACAAGGGACAAATGATCTGGATGATTCTTCGGAGAGTTCTTTGTTAAAGTTTTAATAAACTGAACTTTTCACAATGGAGTAGGATGAGTCCAGGTACATTTCCTGAGTATTTGATCTGGTTGTTACTAATTAACCCCATAGGTTTATACTTGGTTGATTAATAAAATGCTGCAGATGTGTGCCATTACTACAGAATTCTGTGCTTGGCATGCATTGATGGCTAGCCTGTCTAGCCCCAAACAGCTCTCACCTCATTGTTCCTAGTACTTTGATTGACATTGTTATTACACTGTCATTACCTGCAGGCAGGTTGTACAATACAGACTGGTGCAATTTGTGGCTGCACAGCTGGTATACAATACCTAAGCTCATGCTCACTATACAAATAATGGCAGGTACAGGTTGTCCTCCATAGGTGAAAATCTTTACACAGAGATAAAAGCTTAAATAAGACTGATTTCTGATGTCAGTGTCTCTACTAGTACAAGACCCATTTCAAATTGAGGTTCCAGCCACCTCTGTGGTTGCTTTTTTGCCGTGAGGGTCTCCAGAACTTAAATTAAAGGCTGCTGCCCTGTACATCCTCTGACAACACATTTAGTATCCCACACATTTGATGGCAGCTCCTTTGGATGGTGAAATACATGTGTGGCATACTGTTTAAGCAACCATGTGGAGTGGGAAAATTTGCATGGATGCCTAATAGCAATGGAGCAATGGCAATGAAAGTAAAAGAGAATTTCATATGTGTAAACAGGCCACCCTTTCTCTCTCAATAACCATGCATAGATGGAGACTGGAGGCAGGAAGACAATTAATCCCTTCTGTGAATACACAGGAGTATCCTCATATTGATAAAACTGGTGCTGAGATACTTGCAAGTGTATTGTAAATTTGTTGCTGATGATGAAAAAAGTAGCTTCTTCTGTTTGGCATGAATTGATTTGTTGTAGTTAAACTGGAACCACTTAATAAGTACCGCTCAAAGTTTTTTTTTTTTTTAAAAAAAATCCAGACTTGAAGATTTTAAACAAGTTCACTTATTCATGTCTAGTTTAGGCAGTACCTTGAGAGTTCAAAGCCAAGGAAAACTTTGCATGTTAACAAAATGCTGGGAAAGCAGTTTTACTTCAGTAATTTTACACAGGAAAATTCTATAAATGTTATTATACCAGAAAATCTCTTTGAGCAACAGCGAAAATTCAAAGTTCTCAACTCAAAGTTCACGCAAAGATTTTTAATGCTCGTGCTTTCTTTGGTTTGTTAGAGTAGGTGTGTCTGTTCAGAGACCACTGCCAAAGCGAGCTGGCCTTTTTCTGAAAACATTATGGTTTGGAAACCAACTTGTCTGCCTTCTATAGGCAAAACCTTCCCACATGCCTCTCATTTGCTGTGAGAGAGCTTTCTGGAAACAACAATATTAATCTGTGGGGATAAACATTTCCATGGAATTTACAGTCCTTGATTATCCACAATAGATCATGCACACATCATTTTATATCTTTTCTCTGAATATATCCTTGAATACATGACCTTAGTTTCAGCTTCCCATGTTTACAGCCCCTCTGCTCTTATCTACAGTATCTGCCTCTGAAAAATCAGTGCTTATCTTTTACTTTTGTACATCTTGTAGCGGTTTGTCAGTCTGAATTGTTCAACATTCATTTTGTTAAGCTGAACTGTTAAGAGCTGTTCAGATTTCAGTCCCACTTTATCTGTCTGTCCCCTCACATTATATTTTCTTAGCAGGAAAGTAGAGGAGAGATTGGGAATGTATAGCCCTCAAAATGTTGCAGGATGTTATCTCCCATAATCCCTAGCTAGCAAAGGCAATGGCAATGCATATTTCGAGTTGCATTTCCAAAATATTGTATCTTAATAACCATTAATTCCTTACTGCTAAAGTAGAGGCATTTTGTCTCTAATGCACAAGCCAATACATGTGAATGTGCATTAAGACATCCTGGCACAGTCTGCTGTTTGTCATTAATCAGCAGGGAACTCCTCGTTGTAGATGAAATTTAGAAAATGCACAGAATGTCAAACTTAGTAGGTCAATGTGTTTTAAACTTCCTGTACAAAAGAGAGTGAGTAAAGAGTTCTGTTTGGATGTAATAACAAATTATACTAATGAGCCAGAGATAACCTCTAAATTGTTCATAGTAGAAATGAACTCTTAATAGGCTAGATCTCTGCTTTGATTCAATGCCAGATCCTGACTGACGACACTGTTATTTCTGTGTATCGGTGGGAATGACCATTGGAGCAGAATTATTCAAGTAATATAATTTAGTATGCAGCAATGTCTGTCTGTCAGAGAATAATACACCTGAAGATAAACGGAATTTCCACTATCACGTGGTTAATTTTTAGTTAAATATGTCAAGTCCATAATTCTATGAAGCACGGTGAGAGATGTGAAGGGCCAAGTTCTTTGTTAAACTACCAACCCTGCCAGCATCTCTTTAGTAAACATTGCCATTCTCCTCAAGAGCCAAAAGAGGAAGAATCAGATCCAAACTTCTAGCAGAAGAGTTAAGTGTTTCCATGGAGATGTGCAGCAGTGCAATTGATCAGTGTTTAAACAGAGTAAACTACCTACTGGTTTATAAAACAAATTGTGTTTATGTAAGAGGAGGCAGAGAAAAGATTTAAGGTAGACGGTAATATTGTATAGCTTGTAAAGTCCTAACAAATGCATGCAGGTCCGATTACCAAAAGGGTCTATATAGGGTACATATGGACTTGAAAGTGTTTTGAAGGTTTTCACAAATGGTTACTAGGAGTAACATTTTGACAATTTTTCAAAATGACCTCCATGGTGTGAATGGGTAGTTATGAAATTACCAGTTCCCAGAAGGCAAACTATGAGGTTAAAAGAAAAGTAAGATGCCCAATGACCTAATTACCAGCAGAGGTGATATCTGAGATCTTAAATTCAAAATCTCTATGGAAACACATGCCACCACCTTGCAATATCACCTACTTCACAGAAGGAAAAGTGTTGGCACTTCAAAATACATAATTTGGACACAAAGTGCACAGTGAAATCTCAGCCCTAAATGCCAAATGATAGATTTGCTCATTAAGAGCAGAACAAAATTCCCATTTTATAGGAGCCAAACTGCTGCTTTAAAGGAGAGGCATATATAAGCATCTATACTAGAACACATGTACATCAGAGAAAAACACATATATTACTGGTCATACTGGCTGGGGGATCTTTCCCAGACTCTGATAAAATAGTGATTTCTTCCTCACATATACATGCAAACTCCACATAGGCAAAATGTATTGCAGAACATATAGGGAAAACAAACCTCCTTTCCCCCTCATCTGTTTTAAGCATTTGATGAAGAAACTAACACTGACCCACCTGTAAATGTGCAAGGTAAATACACCAGAAGAAGGGAGCCTGTTTAGAGTTGGTCTCCCTATTAT